ATAAATTACAATTTTCTATCAAAGCCTTCTACCTGTATACGACAATGACTAGCTTACCAGATAAGGCAGTTTTCTTCATTCAAGATGGGACTTTTGTTCATTCAGCCCAAATCATAACAGAGTGACCTGAAGGTCTGGGCAACACAACTTTCCCCGAACCCTATCAAAAGTGTTCCAGGTAACCAACTTCTAAGGGCGACCTTTTCAAAGCTCCTCGCTAGTAGTGGGTTTTAATCCCAATGGCCTAATTTTCAGATCTCGTAAATGCGATGTGTAATTGTGTTTCTGCCTTAAATACTGCAAAAAGTCAGATTTTATAAATTACTGATGACAACCTTTTACCCTTTGCTTCATTTTTTTTAATAACTCGGTACGTTCTGAAGGGGTGTGTCTATTTACTTATTGGTAGGTTGGTAGATGGACACATCTCGTTTAGTTAACACTTTTACACATCTGAACACTCAGCTATTCTTAAGCCCGTATTCTAGATCATTTTCACGTCGCCACCTGCTGTAATTATTACGCTATTTAAAAATGTGTTTATATAAAATTTACCAAAAACATTATCTTGTTCTCAATTATTTAAAATATTTAAAAACTTCAAATAAACTAATACTTAAAATATCTCCAACGGTGGTTCAACGTAAGTTTGAGGACTTGTAACACTAGAAATCTGGGTTCGATACTAGATACCCATGATGGATACAGCACACATATTCCATTTTATAGCTTTGCTCTTAAAAACAAAGTATTGTACGTTTGTCAAAATATTGTGTAATAAGTAATCTTATTTTGTACTTTGAATAAATTTTCCGTTCTTTATCATACACATAACATTATATTAAAATTATTTGTTTGTTAGTAAGCGTATAGCTGCGCTACAGGCTATCCGTGCTCTGCCCACCGAGATCATCGAAACCTGGTTTTTAACATTATTATATTAACATTCTTTAGAAAGGTTGACTTTATATATAATACCATCTCTTCATGTTTAGAGTTGGAATAGCATGTAAGAATATAAAATATTTAAATGCTACCCTCATTGTTAATGTCGAAATCTTGATTTTGTAGTATTAAATACTATAAATGTGCGCGTGTATGAATGAATATCACCTTGACTAGTATGAAACCATGTCCGTATCATAGAAATAAAGTTTTCTGAAGTCTAGTTCTGCTTGATATATTCCACTCCAAGATGGTATTTTAGTGATAAACATGTTTTCAAAAACGATATAAAAATTTATCGTAATTTGTAGAGAAGCAACGTAACTTGGATTTCTAAAGTGCAAGGATATCAAATAAAGATTCATATCAGGCAGGCGGTAGCACTGTTGTTTTGGTTTTGGAGTTATCATGTAATAAAAAAAGAAGCAAAAGAAAGAAGGTCAAGAAATTCAAACGTTTTGCTATGATACTTATAGACATTCTCATAACAATCCGAGCCATCCCTACATAGAGTGAAATTGGTTGACACCAGAGGTGACATAGTTTCAAACGGAGTATCCGTTTTTATAAGTATTATTAATAACTAGTAGTCATTAAAAAAACAATCCTAATTCTAGTGTAAACGATGTTATCATTACCCCTTAAAGTTAGCTTGCTTACAGAAAGGTAGTGTTCATTTAAAAAGCTTAAATACAAGGTGAAACAGGAATTACCAGCCAATAATAGATAAACAATAAATATTATCGTTGGAACCTCATTGTATTTAGAACTTGGTTATAAATACTACCTTCCTATGTCTATTGAAACACTGCTTATAAAAAACAAGCAAACAAATAAAGAAAAACATTCCAAAAAAGGAAGTAAATGTAGAGATGGCTAATATCAATCCTTCAAAAACAATACAGACAAGATAGTAAGGATAGGCATTTGCATCATCCTTACATAATAGCACAGACAAGAATTAACATATAGCAATATATATAACTATTCAATCATAATTGAGTTTAATTTATTATATTTTTGTCTGTTAACATTCTAGTACATTGTGCGCCTGTGCTATTATGTAGGGATAATGTAAATGCCATTCCCCTTTAATCTTGTTTGCATTGTTTTTGAAAGATTGATGTTAGCATCCCTACATTTACTTCCTTTTTCTGAAAAGTTTTTTCTTTACTTGTATACTTTTATATATATACTTCAGTATTTTTCAATAAGAAGCTCCTTAAACTTTGGAACTGCTGTAAGCTGCCTTCATAAGCGAAAATAATAAACAAACAAATAAACAAAAGGAGAGCATGGAAAATATTGCTGTAGTTTTAAAAGTAACTGTAACTCTTACCCTAAAGACACCGAGTAAAAAAATGTTAATTAATTTATTTCGATAAATATTTGTTTTTTATTAATGTAACTTTACTTTTTCGAGATAAACTTGCGTGAAAGATTTTTAAGACCAAGTAAGGACGTCTATTTCTTACACTGAACAAGAACGAAAACAGTAGCACTAGTGATAAGTCCCACAATGGGTCAGGGTTAACTTTACGGACTTACAACCCAAATATTCGGGTTGCGCTGAAACACAGTTTCAACTGATGTTTTTTTGGAAATATTTTAGAACTTTGTGATAGGTAAACCTGCATTTCGTTTCGATCTTATAATGTTTTAAAGAGTTAACTGATTAAAAAACAGATAAGACTGAGTATAGCCAGGTTAAGCTAATACTCCGTTCATTTTTTTTTTTATCTTACCCGAACAATTCCGCAACCAAACTCTTCCGCACCAGGGCTTGTAGCCTTCTTTAAATTTCTAGCATTTTTCATTAGAGATATAGAAAACTCCTGAATTTTATCCTCAGAAATGTTAATTTTGTCAACAAAAAACCCAGCTTATTGAGGCATTTTTCTGTGCACAACTTCACAACTTAGAACTACTTTGAACTATTGCAGTCGTTCATCTGTGCTAACAGCTACTCTTAATGGTGGGTTATCCACGTTTGACGAATATACTACGGAAAAAATATATTAATTGTTCATATTACCCACATTTATAAATTTTCATGTGTCAGTTAATATAAGTCCCCCGGTGGGTAAGCAGTAACTTTAAGGACTTACAAATCCTAAAATCTGGTGTTAGATTCCCCTCAGTAGACAAAACTTTGCACTAAAACAAAACAAACAGTTAATAGAAATATAAAATTTTAATTTAAATCACATTTTAGTTAATATAAAATTTTCCTTGCTTGTGTGTTTCCTCTCCCCCACCCCATCCACACACCCAGTGGTTCTGTGGTAAGTCTGCAGTCTTATAACGCTACAAATCGGTTTCGACACCTGTGTTGAGCAGATCACAGAAAGCCTATTGTGTAGCATTGTGTTAAACAACAACCAAAAAAACACTTGCTTGTGATAAGCTGTTTGAGTAAATTAATCAAATATTTAGGGGTTACCATAGTTATAAAATCTGTAATTCTAGGCATCTTATACTGTCAATTTTACCACGCTTAGGATTTAAACTACGATAGAATAACATTATGTGAACATTATTAGCGAAAAGTTGAAACTTTAGTTAGCTAAGTATGATATATGGATGTCAGTCTAATATGTCTTCTGTTAACGATTTATCGTAACGAAAAATTAATTAGTTTCTACACTTCCTTGTTCTAACGTGACTTGATGGGAATTTTGTCAGTTTTAATTTAGGATAGTTTATTCAGTAAACACATACTTATATAACATTTATAATTAATTGTTTCTAGACCGGACACAACGCTTAGGGGTTCAAGAGTGATTAAATTTTAAATCTATATTTGTCGGTTATACTTATGATTTATCGCTCAAAAAGAAAGTTGGATCATTGGAGAAAGTAACCGTTTTACTATACCTTCTTTGTTCGAGTGTTTTAATAACGGTAGGTAAGCGTATGGCGTTAAGCTTTCATACAATGCAGTGATAAATATATTTAGCTATAAAACCTCTGTAAATTTTGGTCCTATTCCTATAGAGGACACCTTAAGAAAATATTATATCATGTATATTATAGGTAATACTAGATGTAATTAACTTACATACGTATAACGTTGAAAAAAGTCGTCTCTATGAAAGTCAACGCATTTAATCCCTAGAAATAGTTTTGATCAACAGAGGCACTGCAAGTGTTTGTATCTTATATTTATGGCAAAGTTATTAAGGCTTTCTACCGCTGTTTCTGATTTTTAACTACTGACCAGAAGGCAGGCAGCCAGTCAGCAGCAGCACCCTACCACCTACCATCCAGTACTGACTATCATTCTTATAACGCAGCCACATCAGACAAGTTGGGATTATACACTGTTTACAAATAATATAATGTTCTAAATAACAAATGTAAACATTGAAAGCAACCCACAAGACTACTTTTGCACTAAGTGGTGGCAAGAATAAAGAAAATGTGATTATTGATTAATATAAACAAGAAAAAAAATAAGGTTCACTACTTAGAACAATTTTAAGCTTGCATTACGTGAGTTAAATGAATACATTTTTCCTTTCAACACATTACTGGAGTTATAATGTATATGTTAATCATAAGATAATAAAAAATTAATTATTTTTCCTTTTTTCTATTGCGAAATCTAGATGCTATCACGATATAAATCACACATACGCACAAATATATATGTATATGTGTGTATATGTGTATTCCCAGTCAAACACACTTTTATGTTTCGATAGCAGCAGTATTTTCCTGCTAATTGTAATTCCATAAGATAATTTAAACCCTAAGAGCAGATGTATTTTAATTTAGGATACCTATAAGATTTACCACTAGGCGTCAGTACAAACAAAGTGAGTGTGGGAGTTTTAACCAAAGATTTTTTTCTCATCGTTTTCGTTTAGCAGCTCTATTTCTTTCCTCTCGACATTCTTTGTGAGTTATACAAGGTAGAAATGGCAGTTATATTTAGTAACTTCTAAAATCTGCGCTATGTCAGATTGCATGCTACCACATTACTGGAGCTTCACACTCATACATTACACAAGTTTACTCTCTGACTTGTACTACTTAATTCAATGATATAGCTTTGAACCTTCTATCCTGAACTAGCTTCACACACTCACCTAGTGGAACCACGTGCCTCATTCTTTTTCTTCCAAGTGGTACATCTCCACAGGCACATAGTCACAAAGCATTGTTGGCACAGTTAGTCAAAGATAATCTACCAAAAACTGGAGGCTGTTGTGCGTTATATTGAGAATAAATAAAGTTATATTTAATTGTATCTTATTTCGCTTTCATCCATCCGTAACGTGAGATATTTTAACCAAAATGACACGAAGAGGCAAGCATCTGACCGTACATCTGACTGGTGGTGGACCATGGGGTTTTCGACTTAAAGGAGGGGCAGGAACTTCTGAGCCCCTCACTGTGTATAAGGTCAGATATAAAAATAGCAATAACTTTTAAGGCCATTAACAGAATAACAGAAACGTATTCAAGTTTATCTCTATAAAAGAAATTGTGTATTTTACAGTTTACTTAGTGGCAGAAAAAATAGGATGTTACGTTGTATCTACACAAGTATTGAATACAAATGTAAGGAGATTATAATATCATTGTATAGGTCATTGATTAGACCAAATTTGGAGTACTGGGTTAAGCCTTGGGCTCTTTACTTAAGAAAGGATAGTGAGTTTGTTAGAAAGGGTTCAGAGAAGGGCTACTAGGATGATATCTGGGATGGAAATGTTGTCATACAAGGAAAGGTTAAGATCTCTGAACTTTTTTGCTCTTGAAAAAAGAACAGTTAGAGGGATTTGATCGAAATGTTTAAAATTTTTACTGAAATTTAAAGTGTTGATGCATCATCTTTCTTTTGTACAGTGGTAGGACAAGTGAACACAAGTATATAATTTTTTACAGGGTAAAAGTCATCTTCAGTTAAGCCAACGTTATTTTTCTAACAGGGTGGTTGATCTTTGAAACGGGTTCTTTTCAGATATAGTAGATGCAGTTAATTTAAGGGAGTGTAAGGGAAAGTTTGAGAAAAATTTGTATGATAAGGGTTGGCTTTAAGCTTTTTTTAGTGTTTAGTATAATTTGATGGATAGGACAGTCTAGATGGACTAAAAGGTCCCTTGTTGTCCTTTAATGTTATGTTATTATCCCTTATAAACATGTAAAGCATGGGTGAAAAATGAACAATAAGTTTTTATAAATTAGTGTTCAAACCATAGATGGATTTTATTATTTTGTCTGATAGCCACATGAGAGTATAATGAACTCAGAAACTGTCGCTATTTGTGCATCAAATTACTTGTGGATCCATTACTTTGTCTATTACAAAATATTTAATGATATGTGAACCAAAGAAAGAAATTGAAATGAAAATCAATATTGCATTAATTCCACTAATAACGGTCAGAATTTTCTATGTCTTTAACGTGAAAATGAGTGATTTTTACCTCATTGTTTAATTATCTCATTACAATGAGTGTTGTAACGTAATTACTGAATATGACGCAATATGAGGGCCCTTCCGGCAGTGAACGTTGAATAAAAATCGATGGGGTCCTAGCAATTTTAGGATTAAACAACGCATAATATGATACGAGATTGCAATGCTGCGTAAATACAAATTACCAACATAAAGTTAAATGATGTGAAGTGTGAGCTGCCATAAACTTTAATCAGTCTGTAGTAGTTGTTGTTTTTTAGATAAGATTTTATTATTCTAAAGATATGTATATTTAAAACTATATTGAGATTGTTTAAAGTGGCATTATTAAATAATAAATAGACCTTTCAGTTATATTTGCACATATACATGTCTAAAATCAATATGTGCACATCTCAACAGTAACTTAAAGATATAACGTAAGCATTTTTTTTTGAATTTTCAAAACTAGAATAGCGGTTAAATTTCACCGTAAATACAAGAACATAGCAGTTCTTTTTGTGTGTGTGAAGCATGTTGGGTTTGTTTTGGGTCTCAGTTTCCTTCACATTAAGTTAAGTAATTGCAGTTCCACATCTGTTTGCTTTCAATCCTACGTTGTGTTATTATTATAGCATTTTGAAGTTATATCTAAAATATTATTTTGCCTTTGGTGACGTATTTCTTTTCGAGTATTATTTCAAATATTAGTGAGCTACGAAGATTTGTTTTCATACAGAAAATTAAAAAAGAACTATTATATAACTGCAATAAAAACACGTTTCTTCACAACTTACAGAAATGAATTTATTATTAGCTGCAACTTGATTTCATCACATTCACTTATTAAACTTATTCAATGTTCAGATGTCCTTGATATTATATTCATAAGTCTTGAGTGATGTTAATCATGTCATAATTGTAATTTCTGCATCAAAAAGCCTTAGACAATATTTAATAGCTAAAATGGAGTTGTATTATTTACCTGGTATTAGAAACTGATAGAATTGAGAAAAGACAGCTAGTCAACAGCACCCATCGCCAAATTGTATGGTATTTGACAGTCACTCTTATAACACGCCAAAGAGATCCCAAGGTGCGGAGCACGATTTTGTGGTCTCTCAGATTTACAGCTGGTATATACATCTCTCATATATAACAAAATATAAATGGTAGGCTATACAGACGTTATATAGATTAAATATATGCAACATGCTATGTGAATAACAGAATAAGCAAAACAAATGTTCGTGTTTAATCAATACAGATAATCAGTAACTGGTTTAAATGTTGATTTCTATGTATATTATGCTGTTATCCTGCGTAACAAAACTTCAGGTAAGACATATTTAACAATTGGTTTACTCATGTGAATGTTTCACTTTGAGTGAGATTATGGAATTTTAGATATGGGAATAAAGCATAGCATTAATCCTTATTTTAATTTTTTGTATTACAGCATAGTAACCTGACTGTTCAAGCAGGTGGGCTTAGGTATTGGCATGACTGAAGAGGTGAAATCGTTTCGAAAAGACACACAAGTTGGAAGTATTCACATTACATATCACTTTCTGTTTTTTTTTGTGTAATTGTATGACTTTGGTGTGCATGATGGTAAAAGACTCCCCAGATTGCTTTATGTTTTTATAGTCTGTATGAAAATATACATCTCAGGTGTTGAAACTGCGCAGCCTTAGTGTAAATTCGTATGGACACAGACCTGTGAGAAAAATAACTATACAGTCGGATAATTGAATATTTTTCTTTAACAAACTGATTGTATCTGTAGTACGTCTAAAGCGTATAACGCTAAAAACTAGGTTTTCGATAACCATGGTGGACATAGCACAGATAGCCCATCGTACTTAACAATAAATAAACAAAATATAGTACTGGCTGGGCCTTTAGAACATTCTATATTGTAGTAACTGGATGTGCGTGAGTTTTAGCTCATAAAAGTAGTTATGTTGTAGGAACCGAATGTTCACTTTAAGTGCAGAAAAATTCGTAATAATAACAAATGTTTCTCCTTTGTTAATGGAACATTTAATAGCTGACTACACGAGAAAGTACATAACATATTAAAATGAAAACCTTGAGGTTCAACTTTAAATGAGCCATGTCCTCATTAAATATTAAACAAGTGGGTACGTTATAAGAGCGGTCGTCACATTCCGTTATTTAATTACAATAGTCCAAGCGTTGACGATGGGTGCTACTGACTAACTGTCCTCCTTTTAGTTTATTTGTTAAAAATTATGGGTAGCTGGCACACATAGCCATTGTTTAGTTTTGCATGAATATCACAAAGAAAACGAACAAAACTATCTTGAATTTTTGAATGTGTTTATAAAAGTGTACTACTTTTTGACTACTCCCTAACTATGGACTGTTCATTATAATGTTATAGTTTAAAACATACTAGGTTTTATACTGATGAAACGTAGTTGTTATATTAATAAGTTTAGAATGCTGAAACTGAATACAAAGAAATTACAAACTTTCGTTTGTAACGAGCACATATTATTGGTGTCACTTCTATTGTACGTACATTGTTTTCTACTTGTTTCTAATTTTTTTCGCATTACCTTTTTACTTGTTAGGTGTTTCGTTGCAGTTTATAGCTGCTTAACCCGCCCAAGATCATGTACTTATTTTGAACTGTTACTAATTATATAGCCAATCAAACACAGTTCTTGTATGCATCACTGTCAGTTTTCTTGAGTACTTCAGTGTTTGTTTTGTTGAACTTTGCACAAAGCTACTCAAGGGCCATCTGTGCTAGCTGTCCCTGATTTGGAAGTGATAAACTAGAGAAAGGCAGCTAGTCAATACCACCCACCCTCAGTTCTTAGGCATCTGTTTATCAATGAATGGTACGATTGACTTCACATTATAATAACTCCACAGCTGAAAGGGTGAGTATGTTCAGTGACACATTTCGATCCCGCGACCCGCAGATCGAGAGTCGAGTACCCGAAACTTCAAGCCATGCCAGGTGAAGTGCTTGAAAAAAGCCTAACAATCAGAAGTAAAAAAACAAAATTCTAGATTCTATTATACTTTTTCTACACTTTTAAATACGTCCCTTTCTAATAGAGATAATTATTGTTGGGTTCTTAAAAGTTCTTACAAAACGTTTTATCTCATTAGTAAAATGCACTTATAATGATACTTTGATTTTTCTTTAATCACAACCTATATAGAGCACAAATGCTCAAGAACTACATTGTTTACATATGTGTAAAATGAAGATATGTATTTACAGTGAAACATTTTTAGATACACCTTAGTGCACTGCAGCTACTGTAATTATAATATAATGTATATTTCCAGCAATATACTCCTTATTTTAATGGGCCTTTTCCATGAAACGTTTCTTGTCCATTCCATGGTGTACTGCAACGTAGAGTTTATAAAGGTCAACAGCTGCCAAACAAGTCGTTGAAGTCTAGATGACTCTGTGAAAGCTCCCCAGTGGCACAGCGGAATGTCTGCGGACTTCCAACATTGCAAACCGGGTTTCAATACCCGTGGTGGGCAGAGCACGGATAGTCCATTGTGTAGCTTTGTGCTGAACTTCAAACAACAACGATTCTGTGAAAAGAGCTCACGGAACATCGAATAGAAAAGATAACTGAAACATTTTCGCTCACCAGCTTATATTCATATTCAATGTGAGTAATATACTGAAGAAAGTGAAAATCATTGTAAATGCTAATAAGGGATATCAATCAGCCACCCTTATCTAGTAACTCCTCGATCTATGTGAACTTTAAGACGTATTATACAATGAAAACGCACATAGAACATTAAATACGTCACCCAAGGCGTCATTTAATGAGGAACTTGAAACATAGGCAAGCACATTCACTACGTGAAGGGAGTTTCATGATGGTAGATTTTGTTCTCATGTCAGCCATGAATGTAAGATGCCAACTCTCATGGTGCGTTGAGTGATGAAAGAGTATGAGTTTAGTTTGGAAGTAACGTTGGTTGTAAATGTGTCACCTCAACTGTGAAGAACATTGATGCAGTATTATAATGTGGATCTGTTTAGCATGAAATGTTTAGCAGTAAAGCAATGCAAGCATTGATGAACTTCCATGAGAAAGACTCGTACTTCTTTCAGCATGTTAATGCAACCTTCCATAATACACACCGAGAGAAGTAGGCATATAATATTAAAAATGTGCATCAGCCAGCTCAGAGCCTCATCTAGTACCCAACTACTATGTAAGGTTTTTCGAATCTGCCTGAGGGACATAAAAGACACGCTTCAAAATCTCATTAGACTTAGAACTTACAAAATAGAGAAGAAAACAAAGACAATTGTACCTTTCAACAAATATTTCATTTTTTACAACCATAGTTTCGCCAGTAAAAAAATCATCGGGTACTTGACAAAACTAAATTCGTAATAATTAGAGTATTTGTGAAACGTACAATTGTCTTTATGTTTCTCAATTTTGTAATTTTGGAATTTTAAGGAGTACCGACGGTCTCATATATTGATTATATACTTAGAACTGCCTTCTAAGACGACTGACGACCTAGTCCAATAGACGTATAGCAACAGTACACAGAATGTAATTGACATCAAAAGTAGATTACAATACCGAATAAACATGGAGCTTTAAGTTTAATAGTGAAACACGATACACTCCTTCTCAAGGTGAGGTGTCTCAAAACTTTTCATACTTAAGTAGACATTCATTCTCTCCGATATTTTATGTTCAGTTAAACAACTGGTGTAGTGAATAATTTTTATTTTTTTATTAAACTGTATTTCTACAGATACGAAGAAATAGCAAGGCACACACGGTACTATTTGAGGGGGACGTCATAATTACCATTAATGGACTATCGTGTGATAGAGTCGATCTCGACAAAGCTATGGATATCATTGACGGTGAAAGAGACACTCTCATTATTCAACTTCTCAGGTTTGTCAGTTATATTGGAGTTTGTCGTTTTAGCCGTTATACTTCGCCAAGAATTTACATCTCTATATATATATATATATATTTACATGGCTACTGTTGTGCATACTAATGAAATACTTTTTGCTTATTTATTTAAATTAGTGTTATGATGGTCAATTTCAATAAAAGACAATGATATATTGGGCAGTTATATCCAGCCATGAAACTACTTCAAGTATCTTCCCTTCTCGAGAGGGTTCATTGATATTCCACACACTTGGATGCGTATTAATCAAGTCACTAGTGTGGTGTTGTTGAAATAGAGGGGGAAAGAAAAGAAATATAAATTTGCGAGAAAAGCTATTTTTTTCCCTTGGGATAAGTATTATTATCTAATTGTACAATACCTCTAAGTACGGGTTTTGTTTATAATCACCCTGTAGTTTAGGCTTATTACTTCAAATATAAGACGCATTTATGATATAGGAAACACTATAACGACAGCGAGCGAGTAATCATACGATTAAGAGAAGTACCAAAGCAAACTCATTAAATACTGTTGTAGTTAATTGAAAGCAAACGTTAACGTAACCGGTTTGAATGGAGGCTATCAAGACTTTCAAACTACATATATACCAAATGGTCGTTAAGCTCAGAATGAAATTTTTGTCTTTTTTTTATAAAATGTACAAAAAAACAGTTTTCGTTTGAAAGGTATCGGAATTACATAAGATAGTGTGCAATTACATTAAAATTACAATGACTGATTATCATAATAATTACTTATTTTTTAAAGTTAAACGTGTTTTCTGAGTAATGTTTTACGTCTTTCTATAGGATTGGAAGTAGCCTAGTGGTTAGCATACCCAGACTGTAAAAGAAGGGTTCATGATTCGTATCCCTTTGTCGCAGAACCGTGGGTGCACCATAAGAGTGAAGATCATATCTCACTATTACATCAGATAAAAGTGATCTAAGACATGATGATGATGCTGTTGACTAGCTGCTTTCCTTGTAATCTATTAGTTCAAAACTAGTAATGGTTGTGCGAAGATAGCCTTTCGTGTAGTTTTGCGCAAGTCCCCCAGTGTGTTAGCGCTAAGTTGCAATGGACTTACAATGAAAAAATACGGGGTTATATTACCCTCGGTGAACAGAGTGCAGATAACCCACAGTGTAGCCACAATAAGAAAACAACAATAGCTTTCCGCGAATATTTTGAAACAAATGACTTTATATCTGATTCATTCTATTTGGTGGAGAGAATATAAATAAACGTACTTGTCCAACTATTCTTTTCTTATCTCTTATCCTACGTAAGTTTAGAATTAGGGGCGATTCCTGAAAAGAACCTCAAGAAATAGCATGTAAATCGATGTGTTTACTTATGCAAATGATTTTGACCTTAGCATTATTCGTGGTAAGAAAAATAATGCTAAAAATCCTTTAGAGTCTCAGATCACATTTTGTTTGTTTTGTTGTTAAGCACAAAGCTACACAATGGGGTACTGTGTACACAGGTATCGAAACCCGGTTTTTATATGCTCAAAGATTCTTTGCTCCGATCATCTCAGCCATATTTTCGACGTTCAATATATTTTTATTTTGATAGTTGATAGATAAGTGAAACTTAAATAATAGTAATAAAATATAATTTACTGAGATTTATTTATTCATATATTTTTTATTTCAAGACTTTCAAGAAACTTTAGTAAAATACAATTATAAGACTTACGCAAAAACTTCTGTAGAATATCTCAGGTAAAAGGTCTAAACTTTATATACTGTTACTCTAGGTTCCATTTATATCTTCACACAGAGATTGGCAGAACGCAATGTCTTTTTTGGCACGTTTTGAAGCTTTTACAAGTTATCTTCTCACGTGGATTTTTGCCAGCAGTCATCTGGATGAGGTGTAGCTCTTTCATTAGTCCTAACTTGTTGTGTTGATCTCGAGAGCATAAAATTTTCTTTATTTCTTTAAGAGCTTAACTTTCCCTAGAGGTTCGGTCTTGTTTTTCTTGCCAATTGGCCAACATTCACGTTTTCACGATTTCTAGAACAATTATTTTTTGGATGCAGAAAATTTATATGGATTTCGTTTTTCTCCTGGCATCTACTCTTCTTGCATTTTTGATCATAAGAATTTTTCTTGGACCCATCTTTGTTTGTTATAAAAATGCGGACCGAAAAGCGAAACAAGTAGCCCACCAAACTGAATCATCAGACAGGCCCTTTTTCATACCAAGGTAATGAAATATCTTGTTTCGCACGCTTAAGAAGTCGTCCTTTAACGTCACGAACGTAAATAATTTAATTCTATTTAAATGCAAATACTCATTTCTATAAATAAGTTTCGACAAGAAACGTTTTCCGAAATAGGTGACATTTTCTTCAAACAAACTCTATAACCTTACTTTCATATAACTATGAACTAAACCTGCACATTTCAAATAAGCGGTGGTAAAATATTTTAATGTAGCTCATTCGTAGATAAGTCATATTTAATTGACCCAATTAAACCAAATAAGTAATTACCTTGTAATTATGTTGTGTGAAAGATTTTCTTCCTTAGGAAGTATTTGTTTTATCTTTCAGGCAAATAAGCTAACAAGCACAATATGTTATGAGCACTTAGTACAAAATGTTATTTATTTTGTACGCTTACCTGGTATCAAATAAGGTACACGTTTATACGTGCTTATCCAAAAGAGACAAATGGTAATTTGTGTATTTCTGTCAGAAAACAAACATATAAACAGAATCAAAGCCTTTGGCAAATGTCATCATAAATACTTGTTTATAATCACATAATATAATTTAGTTCCGAAATAAAAATCACATATGGATAACACATATAAAATGCTTTACGTGAGAGAAGTTTCAGTAAATAAGCATGTTTTACTTTTACTTATTGGAATGTTTTAAAACATTTTTACTTGTTGCCCTAGTCAAAGCAATAATGAACACTTTATTCTGCTCACACTTCCTTATCAATGGTTCGATTTGCTAGCTAGTAAAATAAAAAAAAAGAAATGTTTACAACTATTTCAGCCGTTAATGCTCATTCTTAAAGAAACTCGGTTTTTCATGACAAGTGTTCTTAGGTTTAATATTTTTGCTGAACTGTTACTAATATTAATACTTAGATTATGATAAATCTTCGCTATATAATATTTTGTACCAATAATGAAAACCCCTGAAATTTTATAAACCAAAATATGTATTGCATTTTGATCACTTCGACACATCGAACCTTTAGTTATACTAGCTGAGGGTACAAAAACTGTATAAAGGACAGTGTTAGATATTGTTCCCCTTCCTTTTTTCTCTTGTTATTAAATCCCCAATTACCTCATTAGATGCTAAATGCATACTCTGCTCAGTGGAAGAACAGTTTCCAGTTAGCTCACCAAACAATTATGGTAATCGAGCCAGCCAACTTTGGGTGATGGATGCTAACATACACACATACATATACACATAATGGATCATCTTTATGATAAGGTCAATCCGTGTTCTTTTTCGCAAGTGAATAAAACTTTGCATATGTATGTGTATGTCTGTGTGTGTGGTTATCATTATTAAATTACTCGGAAATACAGGAAAAGTAAAATAAACATTGTAGGCTGATGATATCCAATGTGAACAACATTTTAATAATTGTTTTGTATTCTAATGCTTTCTCATAAGAAAAAACAAAATTCAGATAAGCAAAGTGATAAAGTGTCAATAAGGGAAAACATTGATAATTTATCATTAAATTTGTTTTTAAATTATAATAAAAACAAGTTACAAAACATTTTGTAAATCTAAAATAATGTAGGGATGGCAGTGCCAAAAAGAATGCAAACAATGATATAGGTACGATGCAGCTATACATGACTTTCAGTATTAAAATTTAATGTCACGCTGTAAAATACACGAGTACAAAATGATTATAAGATCGGTCAATTCGACCGACCTCGTAGCGAGTCTGTAATAATCAAAATATGTTTTGACTCAACTTGGTTTTCCTTGTACTTAAGTCCTAGGCTCTTAACTACATTACACTGATGCCTGATATAACCTTGATACTGTTATAAACAAACTGCATACCAACAGTCAAGGAATACATAACTTTCAACTGCAGTAATATTAAAGTCGAGTATGCATTTTACAGTGTAATATTAGATTTTGATATTGAAAGTCATGTAGGGATGATCTATATATAGCTGTATCATCCCTATATTCTTGTTTGCATTGTCATTCCTACATCATTTTACATTCAGAAAATGTATTTTATTACTTATTTTGTGACGTTTTCCCTCCTGACTGAAAGTTAGTGTATTCTATGAATGTGTGTAATAAAATTTAATATAATGTGTATTGATTTTTTAACTCCTTCACTTCATACATAATATAGGGGTTGGCACCGATTGTATAGTGTACAAAGCAAGTATTCTACGTGTTCCAATAATCTAATATTCATCTATTACTGAATAGCAGTTCCTGTTTCACCCTGTACTTAAGCATTTTAAAGGAGCACCGATTTCTGTAAGAAAGCTAACATCAAGGAATAATTATAGCATCGTTTAATTCGGATTTTTTAAATTACTACTAATTATTACGACTAATTGATGACATCGTGCACTGCCCAGAAACACATAGAGTGAATTTAGGTTCAAACTGACGTTAGTGATCACGTAGTTGTAGAGTTATCTCGACTAAAACAAGAAGAAGAAAGATGAACAGTTTGGTGAGTTGGTCACTTTCTGATATGGTATCTTAGCGATGGTTTAATGCTTTCTTTTTTGGGCTTGTTGGGTTGAAAAACAAATAAAAGTGAGTGGCAATCATCTTTTCAAGTAAAATTCTCTGTCATTGTTGTTTTATTAGCGTGCATTTTTGTATTATGCCTATTGGATACCTTGGCCATCCCTACATACATTGTTTACCGACTTTATGATAAAGACCATAAATAATATATTATTTTATGTTATACGGCATTAAGTTTACCAGCTAAATTATAAAACTGTACATAATGTTCCGCTTGCTATTTTAATTTTTCTTTTTTAAAATTCATACAATTGAATAAGTTATTTAATATTTATACCTGGTTGATGGGATCGTTGAATATCACGCAAAACCACACGAGGGATATCTGCCCCAGTCGTCCCTAATTATGAAGCGATAGACTAGAGAAAAGACAACTAGTTAGCATAACCCATCACTAACTCTGGGATACTCTTTACCAGCGACTCATGAGATTACCGTCACATTATAACACCCCACACTTGAAAGAGCGAGCATTTTCGGTGAAGGATTTCGATTCGCGTCACGCAAGCTGCGAGCCGAGCGCCCTAACTACTAAGCTATATTTATATTACAAATTGTAAGAATTTTGCCAATATAATATACACTAATGTTGTCTGTTGGCAGCATTCATAACTATTTCTTTTGTTTGTAAATAACAAAGCCCCTCGCGCTTAGAAGTAAGCTTGACGGTTTATAACACTAGTTAGGCACTTTAAAATGATTGAGCAATGGCGGACCTTATTTTAAATCAACTCTGCATAATATTTGTATATGGGGTTTCAATGATGTACTGTATACCCAGCACTTTAGTTACTTATACTCATTAGACATATTACTACAATAATGTAAATGCATCATTTCTGGTGTGAATTTGTGAAAGTAATCATAAAGGATTTCTTGATTTTAGACCCTATGTATGTAAGTTCAGTTTTATGATGTTACTTCGAATGTTCGTATTTTAGAAGTGTAATTTTAGAATATGCTTGGTGGACAGCCAAATGATGCTTCGAAGCTACTTCCTGGTCGTATGCCATAATTAAAACCTGTAAGTAGCATTGCATCATCATTGTATCGCCTTTAACAACCCCAAACTCTGTAGCAAATAAAAAAGCGCAACTTACTAAATTCTCACATGATATTCAAATGATTACTTGTATAATATCTAAAATTTAACATGCTTAGATTTACATGGGTTTAAGATATTACAGGTTTCATATTCTCGTAATATTTTCACTTTTCAAAGTGGAAGTATTTTCATAATAAAATTACAATTACTCGTTTTAGTCGCAATTGTTGCCAAATCTTCATACATTAGTAACGATTATTGGGTAGTTCGTTGTTAACTTTGTAAGTACTATAGGACCTACAACTATTTCGGGCATAGTACATTGTAAACCTAATGACGAGCAAAGTGGTAAAAAAGTCCTGAGATCTATACATAGACTCTATTGTGAATTGATGGCAAGATCTCAGTTATTTGAAAGACTTAGTACGAGTTCCTATTTATATATGTTTACCCCACGTTTGCATTTCCCTGTGATAACAGCCATAAGTTCTTGGTCGACTTAGAATTGAAGTGGTATCTTCAGTATGTATGGTCTTGTATATTTTACATTCAGAAACAAGAGGCTGAACACGTGGATCGTGCGTTAGCTACTGTAACTTTAAAAAAAATGTAAGTTTTGTTCTGCAGCGCAGAATACTCTTAGATAAAGCTAGGAAATCTGTTTACGAGAAGTATAAAATATATCGACAAAACTACTACCCAAGTAATAATTTATACTCTAGGTTACCAGCTTTCAGTAATGAATGTCCCATTAATCAAAGTAAATCCGTATTAAATTGGGAATAGATGAAAAATCACTTTTAATTATCTCTAAACGTTATTCATATGTTGTATCGCTGACTAGACAGATAGATAAATATCAGAACTTAGACACTCAGACATACAATATTAAAGGTCAATGTAACGTAGAATTATACTTATATATGTTACAAGTTTTCCTATCAGTACTTAGGAAATATATATAGCAGTTTTTATTTTCTCTCTCTCTCTCTCTCTGACAGGCAACAACAAGAGGAGAATGTAGCACCGTGTAACATGGTTATAGAATCGACACCTAGCTACAAAACAGTAACCAGACAAGAATACAGTACACAGTATCATAAAAAGGTAAGTAATTAGAATCAAATAAGGATTCGTGACTTCTTGATAAGACGGATGATCACGGTACCCTATACATAACATTATTTTATTATATAATTAATTGCGTTATCATTATATCAGACTGACGAGTGTGGTAAATTAACCTTTTTTTTAAATTATAAACTAGAAATATTTTATTTTTCTTCGTTAGAATAAAACGTATTATTATAAAATGCTATATTTTCCTAAACATTTCCAAAAATACCTTTTCAACAGAACTTTTAAGAGGCGTTTGTTTCCCAGTATAAATATTTGGTTTCATTTTAATAATAAATAAACCCTTATTTACTTTACGTTTTTCAACCCCTTTCTCTTCTGTATTTTTTTTTTTGTAATTTGTAGTTTTGTTTTACCCCCTGGTTGAAATATAAAATCCAGAAAATGGTAGTTTGTGGTTGTCGAAGCTAAATTCTTTTGATTACCAAAAACGCAAACTTATCTCATAAAGGGCAGGAAACATTATAAAAGTTTGTGATTTGAAAAAGTAATTTCAATGTTAATTTTTTCGACAATTTTATAATATTGAAGATTACATGAAGAAGTGTTTCTCGAATAACCTTATATAATAATAACTCTCCATTTTACATAAATAAGTAAGTAATTACAAGCAATTTCTCTTTTATAAACAGTTATTCAAATATTTCTGTATGTGATACTTTAAGACAATCAAAGAGAGCGGTGATTCAGTGCCAGTGGAACAACAATTTACAGTCCAGCAAAACTCACCTCTAGCCTTACATACGTTTAAAGGCTCGAAGCTAGATACCACATTAAAGGAAGTAGAAAGTAAACCAGCTACGACCGACGTTTCCTCTGTCGGACTGAAGGACAGTGTCATTCGTAATTTTAATCAAGAAGTGACATGCGATGACCAAAAATATGTAAAGAAAACCACGGAGACAGTGTTCGAAAAACAAGGCCATACCGAAACAAGTAAACAAAGTACGAAGGAACACTCATTTGTAAAAAATGGCGATTTACATCATCTTAAATTTGATGATGTGCAAAGTAAAATTAAGCCTGGTGTATTGCTTAGCAAAGAAATTGACTTTCCAATGCAGCGCACTATCTCTCCAATAACTTCTGAGCAACCGACAACAGTTGAAAACACGTCTAAGACTGAAATTCTTAGTGAAGAATCCACAGGATCTTCGAAGTTGTTTAAGGTGAAGAAATACGAATCGACAATGTCAACGGTAAAAAGTTCTTTTTGGGACCCGTTAGCTTCAAGTGCTCTATCAGCTCCAAAAGGTGGTGTACCAATCTTTAAGATGGATAAACCACAGACCATTGTTAGCACCTTTCCATCGTGTACAGTGCCGGTAGAAAGGGAAGAAAAGGTAAATATTTATATAGGTTCAGTAACAATTAGTGTAAAAAACTTAATAGGAGAGTTTGTTTATTTTATTGAATTTCGTGAAAAACTTGTCGAGAGGCTATCTGCCCCTTATTTAGAAGTGATAGACTAGAGAGAAATCATTTATTCAACACTACCCACCAACAACTCTTGGGCTATTCTTTAACAACAAAGTATGGAATTGCTGTCAGATTGTAACGCCCCCACAGCTGAAAGGGTGTGGTCATGTGCGGTGACGGGATTCGAGCTTTTAGGCTAAAGTTGTGATGGTACAGTGCGTTAATAATGAATAAAACATTTAAACATTAGCCAGAACTAGAACAGTTTCTATTAGATGCTCCATGTCTTTGTCGGTACAAATAATATCTGGTTTTTCAACAACCACTAAGTTTGTTTTCACATTCTAAGTGGCAGATATTCTATAAGCATATTAGGTAGTGCAGTGAAAGACGTTTTTCAGGTAATAACATATTAAGTAATTATTTAAATAAGTAAGTTGATCTTTGTCGCGCCTTCGAAAGAAACACAAAGCCAATGCTTAGCCCCGGCACAAGTGGGTGAAAATGGTACCACTCTCACCTGAATGAGATACCACAAATGGTACCACTTCTCATCTGAATGAGATACTACTATTTCTCAGATTAACCCTCAGCTACTAACTGACACTCATTTTACAGTCGAGTAGGCTGAAACAATTTGGAAAAGTATCTTTCTCAACGCCAAGCCTCGAACCCGCAACCCAGGCCTTTAGGCCATGTTGCCCCAAGCACTTATTTGACTGTTAAAAAAGATGGTCTATATTTTCACCTAGCACTAGTACTCTTATCATTTTCAAAAAAAAGAAAAAAGATAGAAAAACAAAGAGATTTAAAGCGTTGTTAAAAAGATTAAATTATCAAGTGGATGTATGGTAGATCACTTTATTCTTCAATACGTTGTGTAATATTTCCTACAAAATAATCAGAACTTCACTGAGCTTAGATGTATTATAACTAATTAATAGATCGCCTGTCTTTCGCAAAGACAGACACAGGATAAGAAAAAATTGGTTACTTAACAAATTATTTTTGTTATGAGGTGTGATATTTTATCTCCAAAATCGTCCCCAGTGGGTCAGTGGTCAGTTTATGAACTTGTAACGTTAAAATCCAGGTTTCGATTACCGTGGTGAAGAGAGCGTAGATAATCTATTTTGCAGCTTCCGGTTAAAAAAAAAACTATCTGAAAGTTACTAGATATGTGTTATGAATACTTCAGAGTGGAAGTGGTATATAATTATTTGTATTTTACGCTTTTATTTGATAAATTATTATTTGCTTTACACAAGCATGTTGTTCCAAAATTCTACACTAGACCATTCGAAATGTAAACTACGTTTTAAATAAGTTTGTTTGCTTCACAATTTTCGTGCAAAGCTACACAAATGGTTATATGCACATAACCGTTTCTAATTTTGAACTAATAAAGTAAAGGGAAGGCGTCTAACAAATAGATTATACTTTATTCGACGTTTTAATACAAACTTTTATTTGAATACATTTGGTTTAATCTAACGGGTGACATATGTTTGTCATGTTTTATCATACTTTCAGTTAATAATGTCTAATGAATGAAAATCATCTTATAGAAAATTAGAAAGTCTCGTTTTTCGCTAATTGTATTAATCTGAAAATTCTTTTTTTTTCGTAGCTTTTAACTCAGTCTTCGATTAATTAGTAAATGATTAGTTACAAAAATTTTATTAAAATGCTCTATGGATTAATACTATTTTTTTTACATGCTATGAAAATAAGTCTTTAAGCTATTTTTAGAGCGAACATCCCTTATTATCATCGGCACTAACTCGGTTTACTCCCAGCCAGTTGTCCAGGAATAGCTAGTAGCCGAAGAACTACTGTATAGTGAATACCGAGCCAACCAATTTGTAACCGCGCCAAAATTAAGAATACCCCCAAAGTTAATTTGTTAAGGAATCTAAAATAAAAGTTTCTTTCATTTAAATGTCGGATGAAATCGCAACGCAGAAATGTGGTCCTTTTTTTGTTAGTAACCAAAACGTAGCCAACGGCATATCTGAACTGCAGGTGTTTTTTTTATATATGAAAGATTTAAAAATGTTGGAACTTAAAATCTTTTGTGTATACCAATATATTATAATGACTAGGATTAAACAAAACTTGAAGTTATCAATAAACTATAAGTTGCAATTAATGCGCCAGTCAACTCTAACGTATATTTTCGACTGGATGAAAATAACATGGGAAACGAAATATTTTGCATTCTAATGTCCAAGATTCAAATGCAGTGTCCTGGTGTCCTGACACATGAATATGAGCACCTTAGAAACCAATGGTATTGTATGAAATACCCTCAATACTTCCACGCTTATGATGTACGTAATTCTACGCTGAGTAAAAACACGTAACTTTTGAATGAATCCAATAAATGAGATTGCTTCAACGCAACAGTCAACTATATACTGTCCCACAAGCTTTAAAGAATGTACAAAACATGGAATATAAACAGTGTTTTCATTTTCTGGTTGATCAAAACCTGTCTTTCCTTAGACGTCCCTCTCATGTTTGAAGCGTTGTCACACGACTGTCCACGAAAATGTTTGCTCAACAAAAATCACAAGTTCTGTGTAATATTTTCTCCAACATTAGAACCACAATTGAGAAATGTTATGAAACGTTCAACATGCCCACTGGGTAGAACATACAAAAGTAGAAGCTACCAGGTATTGATGGGTTTGTTGCTGCTCAGTTTTGATTGTGCGTGTTTTTATATATAGCAAAGCCACATCAAGCTATTAGCTGTGTCCACAGAGGAGAATCGAACCCCTGATTTTAGCGTTGTAAATCTGTAGATTGTATGTGTCCCACAAGGGGACTCAGTTTTGTACTCACATTGTATTACAGATTGATATCATCAATGCTAATTCTATTGCACGATTAGTCGTTTTATCATACCAGGGGTCTCTATTTCAATTGTTTGAAGTTTCGAGGAATGCTCCTTTCTTCTCTATTGAATAGCTTAGTTTTGATATCATTTCGCGATAGACTGTTATAATAGTTAGTAGGTAATGAAAGTAAAACATGGTTCGGGAGCTCTTGGTTTAATTTTAAAATAACGTATAACGTAGCTATTCGGTTTGTAGAATCAAACGCGGTCAAAAATCTTATCTATTATCCCCTCTTAATACACATTTGAATATAAAATAAGTTTGATCTTAATGCTGAATTTTTTCTTCTCTCTTGTTGACGAGAAGCAATGGTATTTAGCATTTTTGAAGTTTAGAATTTGTATACTCTTAAAGGGGAGGATATATGCTATATCTGGAATTTCTTAGAAGAATACTTTCGTTGAAGTTTTCAGGATAATAATACTTATATATGCTTTTTTTTCAGTATATTCAATCCTCAAATGGATTCTGAGAGACAAAGCTATGATATAAACAATTTTATTGTCCATTTCACTTCCGATTGTCAAAGATAATTATTCCTATCCACTTATACAACACGTGTCCTAGTCAAAACTAAGCCTCAATATCCAACAGAGTTAGAATTTCAAGACGTTTAACATGAGTTTTTATATAACCTATATACCTAGTTTCAGATCTCTCAAAAGCGTTGAAATAAAGTTTGGTTTCGGGTCGTGACTTTAAAAACTTTAAGGATCAAAATAATGTAATCTAATTTGGATATATTTTAGCGTGTATAAGAAGTTTCAACAACAACGTATTATCTTAAAAGTTAAGAACGTCAAGGAAATAATAAAGTTCGGGTTTAATGCCTCATATAGTCCCCTATGAATTCCACAATATTAATGAAGTATTTTTTTGTGACTCTTATAGTTTTGAAATATAAATGTTAATTTTAAAGTTCTTAGAATTTCGTAGATTCAGCGTGTGTATGAGTTCGGCTTGGAAACTTCTCAACTTTCCTGTCTTCTCTTGTTTTGTGGACAAAATGTTTCATTTTAATTATACTGTAGCATATAACATAAAATCCTGGAAAGTAATGCCCAACAGTTTAAATCACTTCAGAACTTGCCATTATTAAAGTTGCTAATGTACAAATGTTCAGCTTTTATGTTTGTAATTTTGAGCGATTGATTGATTGAAGTTAAGCAGATTTCCTTTTTAACAGCATATTGTTGTTGTTGTTTTACACGTGTGTAAATCAAAACATAACTGTATAATTTTAAATAACTATACAAAAATAGTTTCTATGTGTCATTCTATCAAACTTAACTTTATATTTGCTACTAAGATCGCAAGGATAGAATAACATTTGATAAAATGAGGATCTTTCTTACTTCAAGGCTAATGTAATATAATTAAAACAATGCGTTCCAGACCTTTATAATGGTTGTCGTTAACAATATTTTGCACTCAAATACGTTATTCGCAAAAGAAACAATCCGCATATTAGCTAAGAATTTAAAGGTTTGAGTTCCCTGATGAAGGAGCAAGCTGGAAACTATGCATTTATTGAAGTATATATGTATTGTAATTATCAATATGTTAATCCTTCAAATAAAATGTTTAATATAAAGAGAAGAAAGTTAATCACATACTGAAAATTCAAGGAAATGAAGTAAATAAATCTCAAAATATATCGCACGAAAAATTTGACGCTTTTATATAAAATTGAAGTTTAAAGAGCTATATACGTGAATATTTTATTAAACCTCGTCACATTGTACATTCTCCGTTATAAGTTCTGATATACGTTAAACATTTAATATTACACATTCTTATTAATTTACCACCATGTGTGTTTTTAACATTAATTTGTTATTCTTATTAAACAAACAAAATCATCACTGTTTGTGATGCACATAAACATTACTAGCTCTAAACTAATTCAATTATTTGTTTTTTTCAAATGTCGAGGGCTTTATAGTTGATTTTACACATAAATAAACAACTGAATATGTAAAGTTATAGTGACTTTCCGCACAATATAAATGTTTCAA